CTTTCCTCTGTCCAGAGGATACATCTTGGCAGTTTACCTCTCACCTTTGTGAGGAGATTTAAATCTTCATTCCTTTTTAAAATCTGGACTCCTTTTAGTCCCGGTTTCTTAGTGACTCCCTGCTTCACTCCGACCTCCCTCCTTCCCTTCATCGACTGATCAGTGATGATGCAAAAGAGCAGAGCAGCACAGGTACAGGTTGGGGATTGATATCAGATGTTTTGCAGTTATCTGAGAGGGACAGGAAGGACAGCCCTTCTCTGTCAACCCTCACCAACGTCCTTGGAAGAGGAAATGATAGAACGGATGACTACTCAATGGAAGTGTGCAACTTGGAAGTCACTTTCAAAGATGAGGCATCTTTTTAATGAACTGAAATAAGCAGCAATCTCACACACCGTTACAGAAACTTGCAAAAGGCTTAATACAAAGCTGCTGCGTTATTCATGAGCTGTCATCACAGGAAGCAGATCTGCGTTTTTGATTTGGCAGATTTTCATGCCGGCTGTTTTTCCTGATGCAAACCCCAATGATGCGCTTCATCTCTCAGAAATGAACCGAGGACCTTTCGCTTGTTAGGCGAATGTGTAAACCACTACATTAAAAACCCAAAACGCTGCAATGAAATGACTGTTATATGTTTATGTGCCCTGTGACACATGTAGTGGCATACATGTGCAATAGTGTAATCATCGTGATTCATTTGTTATAGCCGTGGCTTCTTTGTGATGAAATGAAACAGCCCAGTGTCGGTTCATACCTTAAAACTACTGTTGGGTAGGTGGGGTGGTTGGCGTAGGGGCTGGAGTTATGCTGGAAGCTGGAAGGCTCTACACTGCCCTCTAATGGACGTCCAGCTGACTTACACTGAACTAAATGCTTTCAAATCACTCATGGTAGTTTTATCAGCTGAAATATAAACCTGTGCAAACAAATCAAATAACCAGGGGATGATTTAAAAAATGGGAATAAACAGAATGAATGAGGGCTGCATTCACACATATTTATTCGTAATATTTGGAAATTGTTGTCCTCGGGTGTGTGGATGAAAGGAGCATGACCGCTGAAATGACAGACTTTACTTATCGGGCTTGTCCAGACTGGAGTCACACAGTCCATCATGACCATATAAAAATACATGTAAACCTCTTTGGG